AGTCATACTATAAAGAGCTTCATCGTCGTGGTAGCGTGTCCATCGAACCGCGACGCGTTTCGATGGTTCAACTGTACCGTGATGAAATGGTACCGGGACGGGACGAGGGAGGCTATCGTCAGATTAACCCAGCCAAAAGGGCCATAGGGTCAGGGAGGCGGACTTGACGTCGGAGTGCGCGCGCCTTGGAGTGGCCAGGTGATGGGTGATCAGGGTGCCTTGGCTGAAGTGGGTTTTGGTGGTGGTGGGTGGTGGTGGTGGTGGTGATGGCTGATGGGTTGATGGGCGATGATGACGAGGGATGGCACCGAACCGACCGGGACCGAACAAGGCCAGGCCAAACCAGAACTGGCTGCCCTGACCCAGCAGGGTTGGACGGCGCACCAGCGTACGACCGACAAGATCAAATGGCGGAACTGGCAACCAGTCGATCATCGAGGGCGATCCGATTCGAACCGACAAACGTCTTTGACGGATGGCCAAGAGGAGCTAAGCCGTGCTCTTCTTTGCTGAGCCTCCTAAACAGAAGCAATTGGTGATCGCTGCTTCTTGGGAAAGGTCGTGGCTGTTCGGCAGTCGATCATCCGAAGCAACGGGAACGACCTTGACTCCTCTCCAGACCGAGGCCGAGGCTTTGAGGCATCATGTTCTGTTTTTTTTTTTTTTAATATGGTGAGCATTTGCTCAGTGTTGCCTTCTTGTCCGCCATGGAGCCATGGAGATGAGGGAGCTCATAATTAGTGGGCTTTATTGATTCGTCAATTGGGCGGTGGTGATGAGGGCGTCGCCTCGATCCTGTTGACCGACTGACTGCCGCTGACAAGATCAAAAGTTGGGGAGTGACAGGATGGCCCTGGCCATGTCCAAAATGGAATCATCACGGCAAGACGCCCAAGCCGCCATTTGGATCAGCTGGCAGGGGCTATCAAATCGTCAGTCTTGGCTTTTCCCCACCTCTGTGAGCTCTGACCTGTTGAGACTTGGGTCTGACCTGCCTCCCCGTCACTGCCCACCACCATCTGCTGCCCATTGCTCCTTCCCGTCCCTGGCAATTCGCATCACAGCCTCTTTCGTCTGTTGAGGTAAGGTAGGTACAACCGAGCGGGTGCGCTGTCAGCCTGTCGCTGGATGAGGTGGGAAACAACAACCCCCCCACAGGAGCCCAGGAGCCCAGAAGCCCAGGAGCCCAGCCCAGGAACCGCACCGGACATCGTGATGGCAAGGCACCTCAGGCAGGCTTACCCGGCGACACACTGCAAGCACCTCCTCTCCCTCTTGTGCCATGCCTTCCTTTCTTGCTCTTCCCCGTCCCCGCCTTGATTCTCCAGCGACATCATGCATACCTTGGATAGGCACCTTGGATAGGCACCTTGGATACCTCCTCACCATCATGCAAAGGCATTGACAGAGGCAGCTGCACTATTCGTCGCAAGCTTTGTCCTAAAACCTCCCCAGGAGAGATACACAAAGAAAAAAGAGTTCCCCCCAGCGCGCCTCATCTCCTTCTCGCTCGTCTGCCGCGGCAATACATGGTAAGTCCTTTGCGCTTCCTCCTCCCCATTTCTTCTTCCCCGCCTCCACTGACCCCCATCTCATTCCGGTCCATCCATACTTTCGACCCGGGTCATTGGCTTGCAGCACTGGACGGAAACCTTCATGTTCGGCTCAAGCAAGCGGCTGCTACGCTGCAACGAGGCTGTGGCCGCCTGACACCCAGCCCTGTCTGTCCTGTTACAATGCCTTGGCCCGGGCCCTGGCCCTGTCCCTGTCGTGCTCTGCCACACTGCAGCCAGCCTTCCTTGTCAGAAGACCTTAGGAGTCAGTTTTATTTTGCATCCGAGCCGGTCGAACAATATCGCGCTGCCAATCCTCTCACGACTGTCGTCAGCTGTTCCCTTTTGTGCCATACATGTAGGCCATTGCCCCAAGAGAGCACTCAACAAGGGCACTTTACGATGCGCACATTGGCCTTTGGCCAGAGCCTGTCGGTTAGTCGGTCGGTGTCTCGGGTATGGGTCCTTTCAAGTGGCAGACGCATCAATCCTTCGTTGCCTTACTATGTACTCACCACCAGCTCACCTCGCGCGAACGGCAAGCATAGCGATGACCAACCACGTCTTCTCCGCCGTCATCGATCGTCAGGAACCAGCCAGTTGTCTCGTCTCCCCAGTCGCAAGTTGCAACCTTTAGCGACGGAATGAAGCCTGGCCGACCCTTTTGATCAGACCTGCATCGCCAGATATCCTAGACTCCCAGGCATGGAGGAGTGTGGCCTCGGAGCATATGCCCGGAGCCACCGGCTTTTTAGTTTTGACCTCCCCTTTGTGTCCATCGTCAAGACGAATGGAGCCACCTCGACCACCTTTGCGGTTTTCTTCGACCCCGTCGCGGAACGGGTCCTGCCCTGACCATCCACACCGGGCACTTCCTCTCAAGTCGCCCCGCAGCATCCAGATATCGTATCCATTCATTCGCTCGCGCAAGCGGTCCCTGTCCTGCGCCCCCGTTCCCCGTCTCCCCCCTTTGACCCTGGTATGCGCTACTGCCGCCCATACCCCTTCTCTCACCTCTAGACAAGCTGGGGGGGCCTGCTTTCGTGGGACTTGCAAGCAAGCAGACCAGAAGTAGGTAGGCAACATACATGGTAGCTGGGACTTTTAGGGTTCAAGGTCATGTTGCTGATTAACAACAGAATAGATCGGGGATTGGCAGAGGGGAGTTGTTGAATCCAACAATGATGGTGATGGGACCGTGGCCATCCGCCGGGGAAAACCGTCTCTGCATCCAAGCGACCAGGTCAGCACAGCTGTCCTGCACCACCAATGCACTCGGACACCGTGCAGTCAAGACATTCAGCTCAACGAATGACGTTGTGTTCCACGAACAGCTGCGCAATCTCCGTTCCCGCAGCCAAAAAGTACTTTCCAAACGCTAATTCTTCAACTGTTTTGTTTGCTGCTAGAACGCTTTTTTTTTCTGAATCGTACGTGGCCAGCTCCCCGGCGTGTCAGCTGCGGGATTCTGTCGGCTTGTTAGCCCGCGTGGTTGACTCGAACAGACCGTCCTCAGAGCGGCTTTTGTCCAGCAGCGCTTTTGTCCAGCAGGGGTTGCCTTCATCAACAACCCAAAGAGAGAAGGGCTACCCGCCTGGTCATCGTCGGTCCAGGTTGCGCGGGATATGCATAGAGATTGGGGATGCTATTTCCGTCCTCGGACCAATTTTTCGCCCGCA